AGCACTGTAACAAAAAATAATTTCCCCCAGGGATTAATAAAGTATTCTGATTCTGATTCTGATTCTGATAAAACCTTTTATTTTGAAAACTGCTCTGTTTGACAGTTTCACCTAAATTGGAGTTTCATCATCCATCTACAGATTTGTACCCAGCTCAGGCAGAATGACCAATTTATACAAAATACAAGAGAACCAGAAAAACAAAGAACAGGATTTAAGTGAAATCTGAGAAGAAAACTCAACAACTGGAGATACTAACAGACTACAATAAAGGCTCCAGTAAAATTAGTGCTATGAGCGGAAAAAAGATGCAGTATGCACTGTGACCATAATAACTAAAATCTGAACAAACCTGACTTCTACTATAAAACATTCCTTCTGTGGGCAACAACATGCATGGACACAGAAAAAAATTTCCAGAGTTTAACAATCAGACTGGATGTGGTGGAGCAGCTGAGGCAGATCCAACATGTGTTCTGTATTTCATCTTTCATGCATTAAAGCTGCAAAGCAGCTCTGATATGGTTTGATCTGTCCTGGAAGTTTCACTGTGAGTGTATTCTTTCTTTTTTAAAAGCTGCTTTATAAAGAGTCTATGGATATAAATTGTTGAACTTACATGATACAGTCAGTGTGATGATATCACTCCACTCTGTGAAGAAATAGTCCCTCCTGCCCCGGCAGCTGTATCCTCCACTGTCAGACTCAGTAGCTCTGATGGTTCTGTATTCATTGGATGTTGGAGGTGTGTTTAACTTGGCAGGACTCCATTCATACGTCCACTGAGCTCCTTCACCTCCCTGAATCTCACATCTGACAGTGACTGTTTCACTCCAGTGTATCAGAATTGAGTTTGGTTGCAGGATCACAGTGGGCCTAATGGGAACTGTTCTCATAAAAAATAGGAGATTATAAAGTCATTATAAAGACATCATGATTTTTATGTGTATTGCTAATGACAATCAAATCTATTGTGCCCCCTGCCAATATATATATATATATAAAGAAATATGTGTTACATTCATAAAACAAATGAATGCAGGTAACATCAGGACGAATTTTCTCTCTTTTATTTTTTGAACTTACAGTAAATGCCGAGGCAACCCTGACAACAGACAGCACATTCATACCAGCAGGAGGCATCTTTACACTGAGCTGTGCTGTAAAGAGCTCTGCTGACTTAGTATGTGATTGGTTCAGACAGACAACATCTAGAAATAAAATACAGATTAGCTGTTGGATCAAATAGTGATCACAATCGCTAAACTAAGAAACTACAACTCAAGCACATTTTAGTCAGAAGTCTGCAGGACAAGAAAAAAACACAACTACGGTGTGTCAAGTCCGGCTGTGTGGTAGGCAAATTAGGAGCCAATTGCAGGACTCAGAGATGAAGGGGTAATCTGAAAGAGGCTGCATTATTGTTGTATACACAGGAGGAAATTAAGGGACCTATGGATTCTTCGATACCCAACATCCACAATGAAGGCGAAACAACTAGTAGCTCAGTGTTCCAACATTCGAAAGAAGGGACTGCTCTCACAGCTAGAGATTGACGAGGTACAACACAAATGCTATGGCAAGGAGGAGTCAGGACGCCAGGTCAGGGGGGCGATATCATCACCCCCACCCGAGATTGG